TGTTTGTGGTTACTGGTGATGCGCCAGAGCTAAACGAAAATAATTTTTCAAATAGACAAATTAAATCATATGCAGCTCATCTCAGTGTGTTTCGAAGCGTTACATATCTGATGAGCTAAGGAACAAATTGTTAATTCTTATTCTTTTATTTACTTGTTCAGGTGATCTTTGGAGTTTTGACTACTATCGGAGTGAATTCATCGTCTCTCCAGTCCCTGACGTTCGAGTTTACAAGATTACGCCTGGTTTCGACAAGTTTTTGATCATTGCATCGGATGGCCTATGGGGGGTTATGAGGGTTGAAGAGGCGGTAAAAATTGTTCATAATTTTGACAAAGATGACCAGTTCAAAGGAGGAGATGTATCGCACAGGTAAGAATCAAGATCTGTTTCATAACTTTTTTATATTACCGCGTATTTTCGAGAGATTGATCGTCCAAATACGTCTCCATATCGATCTTTCTTTACAAAACTGGAGTTTTTCCAGTTAGAAATTTTTATACAACGAATGAATGCATTGATTAAAAAGGAGTCGTAATGGCCCATCATAAAAGTTCATGAATCAATGAGAAGTGAAGAATTAAGAAAAAGTATCATCTGACCAAAACGCCAAAATTTGATTGGTTCGCCTTTGCTGGCATTTGATTGGGTGAGTGGGTGACGCAGGCTTCCCTGCAAGCTGACGTTATCAAGATGTCGATAACGACAGAGAGACAATTTAAGCTTTGAATTTAATTAAATCCCGACAGGTTAATAAGCCGGGCCTTGCAAAGATGGCGTGACCGAGAGCTTCGTGCAGACAACACTAGTGTAATAGTTGTCCATTTCGATGAGACAGAGCCTGAGGAACCGCGGAGTAAAATTCCCAGACTAGATACCCCTGAAAGTGAAGAAGACGCGGAGACGGACGTAAATCAGTCCACGGATTCTTCGCAAGAGAGTGATGGAACACCCAATCAAGACTTGAACTTAACAGGTGATAAACCAGCACTGGTGAGGAAGCTAGCATTCCGCTGCTCTGATCCACTCGAATTATCTACATGCATGAATAACAGTTTCCAGATGTCATCGAATGGACTTTTATCTACATCAAATTTGCAAACTTCGAACTGTTCATCGCCGGTGGTGTAGACGGAAATGTTTGCCATGTATACCGCCCCACAACTATCGCAGATGTTCCATACAGTACCGCTCCGAATTCCCGCAGTCCACTCCAGAGTAGTGAGCCCGATCACGTGGACAACAGGCTAATATTCTTGGTTCTCATCAAGCACTGCATCACATCACAACAAGCTACAAAACAAGCGCGGATGTTCCATAAAGTACCGCTCTGAATTCCCGCAGTACACAACGGAGCAGTGAGCCCGATCACGTGGACAACAGGCTAATATTCTTGGTTTTCATCAAGCACTGTACCACAACACAACAAGCGCGGATGTTCCATACAGTGCCGCTCCGAATTCCCGCAGTCCACTCCTGAATAGTGAGTCTGATCACGTGGACAGCAGGCTAGTATTGGTTTTTATCAAGCACTGTGGAAATGTTGTAGGAATTTTCGGTTAGTCTATGTTTGGAAATCTTGTTCTTGGTGAACGGTATCAATGGTTTTAATGGCTCAAAGCCGGGCTCTGTAGTTGTACATATTGTAGATATCCAACGCATTGCATTCGTGAAATTTTTTAAACCTGATTATGCAAATAAAAATACACCAGAATGCATTCAGTAGCTAGGGCTGAAGAGCTTTTACGATACTTTGTGTAGTTAAAAAGTGTGTTCTTATTTATTACTTATAGCAGTTTACTGCTTCGAAAGGTTATCAATAGGATTAAAATAATTCATCCCTCGACCAGTTTTACGAGGTAGAAAAGAGAATCGATTCAGCGGTTCTTAAATGTAAACGAATAAATTTATTTTCCACTCAATACTTCTCCAAAATGAACGCTTTGATTTTCGTAGATTGAGACTTCTTTTGCAATATCGATGCACTGTAAATTCCACATACAGCTGATGAGAATTTTTAAAAAAGTTATCATGCAAGGGACATTATCTGAATATAACGCCCAAATCGTGGAACTAGTCAAGACCCACGGAAGTGACAATTGTAAGCTATTTCTATTGAAACTGATCTCAACACATGAATATTGAATTATTTATTAGTACAGCTAATTGCTGGACCAACGATAAAAAGAGAAAGGATAAAGGTCACCTAATTTCTATACGTGTCGTTCTAGTCTTTTTTTCTTTGTGTGTGTGTGTGTGGGGGGGGACGTGTGCGCGAGCGCGCGGTAGCGCGACTGTTCCTCTTTGAGAACAGAGTATCTAATCATTAATCTTGGTAACTGGGCTATCTTGCTTTCTCATTTTAAAAATTTAGGCTTAAGTCTCATGAAGGAAAATCCTTAAAATAAGTCTTCTTCCGAAGCTTTTAATAGATATTGTGGTGATGAGCCTTCACTTCTTTTTCTTTAACGCCACTTCAGGTTCACCCAATTCTCATAATGGATTACATGCCATGCGGCGACCTACTTGGTTATCTGAGAAAATGCCGAGGAGTGAGGGATCGGTATTATCTTGGTGATGGTAGGGCTCAAGATTTGACCAACTATGATCTTGTGATGTTTGCCAAACAAATCGCTGCCGGTATGGTGTTCCTTGGATCGAGAGGGGTAAGTGAAGTCCTTCATTGTTGTCATAAATCAAATCTAACTCCGAAAAATCTCTCAGATCTTTAAACTGTTTTACATTAGCTCGGATGCTGAGGTTGTAATTANNNNAACCTTATCTATTTGAAGTGGGCAGTCAAGTCTTTTCCAGTTACTCAAGTTCTTCAGTTGATGGCCCCGACCACCCTGAGGCGTTTTCAAGTGTCAGTTTAATATCAAACAAGACGAGGCAAAGCAGTCTTACCCACTCTAGCCTTTTCGTCTCGCTCTTAACTATCCGCATGACTACGTTTGCACTTGAACACTCATTTTTTGGTACGCTAAGTTGTGAGTACTTTGGTTCTAGTTCTTCGAAACTCAATCGAAATGTATTCTGTTGGATGTGTACACCGTGATATTCTTCAAGGGCTTTGCAGATCAATGTCGTTATCTGAGCAACTACCCCTCCCCCAAACTCAACTACATTCACCCGATAACAAATTGGGTTAAGGGATGGGTGAGTGCGCAGTTGATTGATATTAGCATTTATCCAACTATGCACTGTGTACGGGTCCGCAAACGATCCCCACACCGAACCGCAAATGATCCCGACTAAAAAAATTAGGAATGGCATGGATTGATATGAAAACACGTTTCATTATTTTATAACAAATATTCCATAGCTGATTTTTTTTTTTTATTTTAGCGGAAAATCTGTGACATTGCGTGACGTTCTGTCGAGTAACACACACCGTTTTAAGGACCAAAGATTTGTCGATTTCAAGACCTTTAGCATAGTACAATAATTTTCTAAAGACATTTGTGGTGATCGTGGACTGCAAATCTTCTGCTTACTGTGTAGAACGTTGGAGAACATGCTTAATCGAATTTCATTTCTGTTGCATATGATCATTGCTTCAGGTGCACGTGTATGGTTAGCCAAATGTTGCAAAATTCAACAACTTGCATATTTTTATTCAACAGCTAATATTTATGCTCAACAAAATATATTTTTATTCAACAGTTTACAGTTATATTCAACATTTTATATTTATGTTCAACGACACGCATTTTCTTTTCATATTCAACCAATATTATTTTCATTCAACAACAATATTTATTCAACTTCAGTAGCTATATTTATTTTACTCAACAAAATTAATTGTTCAACTTCAGTCCAAACTTTTTACTCAACAAAAACAATTATTCAACTTCTACCATGCATAGTTATTTAATGACATACCTTCTATTATGACTAAGTGTTCGAAAGTTCCCGGACATTCAAAATATCGTCATTCAACAAAAT